ACAGTTTTAGTCCAAAAGTTACAATACTATACAATTATCCCAATCTCTGATCATTTTCGAAAACCTGATTGGATTTTGGGTAGAAATTTTCGAGGTAGAAATTTTCGAAACAGTTGGTTGATCATAGTTATGGTTTCACGTTTTTAATTGATAACTTGTTTATTTTGTGGATATTCATATTCATGTATACACTATAAAAACACACTTTTGTCGATTTTACACGATAGTTTTATATTAGTTGACAAGTTTCGGTCATTACACCATTTTCAAAACTAGTCAACAAATATAAAACTATCGTGGAAAATAGACAAAAGTGTGTTTTTATTGTGTATCCTCAGTTATATTTATGGAATAGGCACCTCTGCAATCTTTCAAATATGAATCAAAAAAACTCATACGTCAAGCAAAAGTGAATATAGGAGATATGTATTCTAAAACGGCAGCCAATTTTATCGGAGCCTTTCGCATCGGTTTTATTGTAATATTTGAACTAAACACTTCACAAAGCCGCAACATTCGTTTCACTATACAATAGCTTCCTCAGGCGTATTCGTACAATGAAGTTTTATTTGAATACGTTATGGATTTTCACTCGATAATAGCCAATTCGATCACATTGTTACATACTGTTCCATTCACAAATAAATCATTGATTGCGGAGAACTGAAGTGGCTTCCCTAATATCAAATAACTATTTTAAAAAAAATTTGATGAGTTCACTTGGAGATCCATTGTTGAGAACAGATTTGATAAAATAATGATTCATTTCATTGACATTCTTCAGAGATTCGAAAAGTTCATCATTATGTTATTGAGAAATAATATTAGTTGCCTACAGAAAATTTCAGAATTAATTTTTATTTGTTGGGTTGAACTGTTGAGTGAAAACTTTTTTCTCATTCTTCACCGTCACATTCACGTAATTTCTCAGTTCTTCATAATACATTCATATGTTGTTTAAATATGTTTAAAATATGTTTTTTTCGTTAACTAGCTATCGCACCCCTACGAACGATAACCCTCAGGAGTCGAAACTTGTGCGAGCTAAGGACTAACGAGGTCTTACCTTTTAAACGTGTGATTCCCAACACGGGTTGAGCAAGTGAAAATCGAGCGTTCAGCGTGTCAATCGGAGACTAGTGAACAAAGCACCCACGTCGAACCGCCCGGCTACCGACCGATATGATTTAATTTCCCGTAAACAAACATTTTACAGCATCTGGAAAATAGCTAGAATCAGTCCAGTCCTTGAGGAAGGTGATTCGATTTGTTGTCATTTGACATTTGTTGTATCGAATGTTATTTCAGTTTCTTGCTCCAGGTTTCTTGCTTTTTTAACAAATTATTACTGATTTGCAAGTTAGCAGGGTAACTTCTTTGTCAGCTTAACAACATAACCACTTTCCCCAAAGAGTGAGTTTTGAACGAACCACACTCATGCGAATAGAACGATTATTTGTTATAAAATCTTAGAACCAATCTTGCCTCACCCCGAAAACATATTTGAAATGATTGTAGAGAATTTCCAAATCCATAAATTGTTAACTAAGATAAGAATCATCCCTCAATAATAAAGAATCAGGGCCCACGAGCACATTTGCCTTTATCTGAATTATTATTATCTAAATAATTATTGATGTTCTATTCGATGGACCGTTATCTCTTACTTCTACTTCATTTCTTGCCACAGGTTGGACGTGTTCACTAATTTCTTGTTCTATTCGATCTTGTGTAATAGTGTCGGCATCACCTTTGTCATCTTCATCAGACTACAGAAAATAGTCTGGATCCAATGAACTGTCAGTTTTAGAAAAAATTTCAACCTCATCATCACTGAACGCCCAATTGTTAACAATCCCAGGAAAGGTTATCTCCTATTTGCTACCTGAAACTCGCACAAAATACCCACTTCAAATAGTAATTATTACGGTGTTGCAACTTTGCAACATTTTTTTTCGACATCACTACGTATTTTTAGTACGTATATAATACTTTGATTTATATGTATCACTTATATGCCGGTCATTACAATTACAATATAAAAGTTTTACCAAAAATGGTACGAACTTATTAATACATAAATAAGAATATTTTACCGTCTTGTCACAATGCCGAAATCAAACGAATCGAATCTAAGTGTGTTTGTTATAGACGAATTTCGTAAAGGTCGAAAGTGCTCTTAAGAACCTTAAATTCGAGCTGAAAGTACGACTCAAAAACACAGAAGGTTGGCAATCAACGAGACAGAGCACTAAGATATCCTGACATGTTAAAAGAAATCAACTTCTTCAGTCCCATTGTAGTATAAAATTCATTTATCTTGCAGCTTTGAATAAACGAGGCTGCGTATAAAAATTACATTGTTTATCGGTGTTCGATGGCTGAATGTCGTTCCCCGTCTGTCAATACCATCCTATCAGGCGCAGCCGAAAGCGCTGACCGATCGACGATGTATGGTGAAAAAGGCAGAATCCACCTAGCAATCACCTTGATCCCAAGATGGACATGTCTGGTTATACCGAGACCGGACAGTCTATGAACTTACCCCCATTGTCGGCTCAACAGATGCTTTTTCCTCAATAAAGCTGCATTCCTCTTTTAGTTGGTTTTCGAATAAAAAGTCGTTTCTCCAAGTTAGAAAAATCGCTCGTTCGCCTCTCTTCGACAACGTAAAGATCTTTACCGGTGAAAAAACGACTATTTACACACCAAACCGAAGTAATTGGATGCTGTTGTTATCAATAATTTGTTTAAATATCGGATGATTTATGTCTGCAGTTATTATAAATTGATCGCCGGCGATTATACTGCAGAAAAAGGTTAATTATATTTTCATTAAATTTGTTACACATTCCGATGATGTACAGGAGGTGAGTTTCATTAGCGGCAGTGTCATTGATTATAAAAAATCAGGTTTCTTGCTTTTTTAACAAATTATTACTGATTTGCAAGTTAGCAGGGTAACTTCTTTGTCAGCTTAACAACATAACCACGATAAATAAAAAAATTCAGTTGTTGAAATATTTTCAAATTCACCAATGAGAGTCAGCAAAGATCTAGCATTCAAGGAGACAACCTTTGAGTTATTTTTCGAAAAGTAATTTCTAATCAAATCCATATGAATTAAATGAATGAAAAGCAGAACAAAAACAGAGAGAAATTGAAATGTGGTATATTTTAAAGAAGATATTAGTTTTTGGAAAAAATGATTTTTAGCTTTCTACTTCTTCATCTTTTTACAGAAAATTGTGAAAAACTTTCAAAAGGGAAAAACAAAGTAATCAAGTTCAAACTATACTTTTCACAAAGATGTGTATATCATGCGTGAGGTTACTTTCAGATATGAACTGGAAATAAACAACTATTTTCATATGAACACTGTATTACACGAAAGAAAAAATATTTCTTACGAAATCACTTCTTTCTGTTCAGTTTGTACTTCAAACATTCGTTATGGAACTGAATCCAGAAAGGTACTAATAAGGTAATAAGACGAGTGTCTTATTTCGTCCCCCATTGACGACGATAATGATTGTTTATAGTTACACTTTCAGATATTGTGTGGTGTTCTTATGAATTATATTTGAAAGTAGTTGTTTCTAAAGTATTTTTCATTGTTGTAATTCAATGTTCATGTGGAAGTAGCTATTTCGGGAGGCCTTTCTTTTCCAATTTGTGTCTGAAAATAACTTCTATGCTTGATATACCCATCATTCTAAATAGTATATTTCGAACTCATTTCTCCCTTCGAAAATTTTCCATACTTTTTGAATGAAGGTGGAGAAATGGGAAGACAAAAATGTTTTAGGTATTCTCTTCAATTTTGACGGTGAAATTGAAATTAGAGAGATTAAACGATCAATTCTTATTCTAANCTTCCTGATTATATTTTTCAGATTGTGGGAGGTGGAAATACCCAAAAAAGGGCAATGAAATATATAATCTATTTCCACATTTTCATCCCCCATCCATTCGATGGAATTATTAAATCGACCGATAATATAACACAGATTGTTTAACAAAATGGAAATACCTTTTGGTTAAATCATTGATGACACTGATACTATTCATTTTTGATTATTATAGATCATAACATTCATAAAATCAGCTAACTCAATAGAGTCATCCGAATATATTTCATGCAATTATCTGCGTTATGCTCGAAGAGCATATCGCTTAAACAATTTAATCGAATAAGAGTTTTTAACAATCTTTTTGAAATTTCCAGTCGTTACTTGGTATAAATAACAACGAATCAATCAGATGGAAAAAGCTGTTAGAGGTAAATCAATCAATGATGAGAATAAATCACCCACTTTCTTTTGAGAGAAAAGTGAATCATTTTGCTTTCCTACTGCAGGACAGTTAGCAATCTGAACCAATGCCTCTAAAGCGGTTGAAAAAAACGTGGATGTGCCAGATGCCTAATACAGCAGCATTTGACAAAGATCAACAACTTTACTTACATGTGTTGAATATCATTTTGAACTGAGTGAAGTTGAATTTTTGCATGTGGGACAAACTGAGTCAATCGTAAGAATTTCTTCTTCCAGAAGCAAGTGAACAATAATGATTAGATACTTATGGAATGGAAATAGTTTGAAATTCCAACTTCCAATTCAAGGTCGAAGAATATCTTCATTAAAAGGTGTTTTTACACCGTCAAAATGATTCAGAATGTCACCAAACATAAATATTTACACTGTCAAAAGAATTCAGAATGTCACCAAACATAAACAATATTTTTTATTAGTATATCAGTGTCCAATATATTTTTTTATATTCCATTAACTTCATTCCATATGAACTTCAATTATAAGTTTAATTGACATTTTCAAAAAACTTGTAGATGGTTGGAAAATGTATATCTTATTATTTTAAGTATTTATCTTTTTTGTTATTTTCTCGATCCCTGAATTATTGTTTGTGAACGACATATGAGGTTATAATCATTATCAATAGTCAATTATCATCAATTATCGTAACTGTATTTGTTACAGGTATCGGGATGATACATTATGCTGGACTGATCGGTAAGTAGAAAACATTAAAATATTCCATAAACCTACTTTGTTTTGTGAAAATTCCTGCGTTTCGCAGTGCATTTTAACAAAAGTTTGCGTATGTTTCTTTCATATAGAAATCTATGTGAAATGGTTAATTACTAAACTTCTATGAATATCAAATGGTATAAAAATCACCATTTTTCGATTAGTATATCGAGTTTTCAACAAAAAATTAACAACCTTGTCAACTCAAATCGAAGAAGTTCCGATGTGCTGATACATAAATTAAAAATTTTTTTTGAATTGACTCCATTGGAACCTGGAAAAAGTTGATGTTATTTTGGAAATATATCCAAAGAGTTTGTTGCCATTATTTTGAATTGTGTGCAATGGTTTTTCATTCTGATTCGAGTCCATTTTTATACTTAACGTTGGACACTTCTGAATGGTTCAATTTGAATCAATCCTTGGTGAATAGAGCTTTGATAAAGCAGTTGCAGGACTATGATTTACCTGGCTTTGTATATTCTATTTTATGATACGCTGGATAACTTGGTCAGCAAAGACTCTCCTGTTGAAACATTCCTTGTATTTTTTCTGTAGGTGTTGTTTTTTATTTTGATGCTATTTTTACGATTTTTATTCAACTGTTTATTTTATTGACATATTATTTTCGAAGTTCGTTATATATAGGTCCCTTCACTTCATTATTTTCATTCATGATTCTATATAAGTAATAAAATTTCAAACAGCAGAATCAGTTAAACTATCGATTGGTCAGTCGGCGAGGAGCGCTTACTGCGCAACCTCTGCTGCATGCAGCCAGTGATGCAATTGAACCCAGGTTCGTGTTTAATGAACCCTACAAAATACCCTACAGATGCTAAAAATGCAATATGCAATATACACACGGCTCAAAAACCAAAAAAGGCTCAGGATGTGGAGTTTACTCCAGATCACTAAGCCTAAGGATTAAGTGGGGGAAATACCAGCCAGTTCTGTTTGAACCACGCTGGTATCTCAATTGTCACAAAAGAAATAACCAGGAAAGGCATTTCTGGCAAAAACATAACAATCTACTGATAGTAGACCAGCCCTATTAGCCTTGAACAGGCAACGTGTTATCTCAGGGCTAGTACTAAAGTGCCACCAAGATTTAGCCAAAGCCTCGGTAGATAATAGCATTATCCTGAGGTGGGTTAAAGGGCACAACAGGAGTAAAGGTAATCGCATTGTCCACTCTTTAGCCAAGGAAGCGGCTGGACTAAGAATTTTAGGACCCAGTGACACCTGCGGCCTGATGACTTCGACAATTGTGGAACCAGCCAAACGTCACACTCATGCTCAATCCCTGAAGAGATCGGATGAAATCAAAGGATGCAGTCTTGCCAGAATCACCCTGGGCGACCCTGGGAAGCTAGCGCCGAAGAAATATCTGGCGATGACCAGGAAAAACCTACGCTTACTAGTAGGATTTCTGAGTGGCTACTGTCAACTAAGGAAACACCTCCATATTAGGGGGATAGTGGACACATCTCTATACAGGATGTGTCAACAGGAAGATGAAACTGTCAGGCATGTCTTATGCGAGTGCCCGGAGTTATCGTCAATAAGAGAGTGTGTGTTCGGCGAGTCTTGGCAAATGCCTGCCTATATAAAGGAGCTGTCCACCTTCCTGGAAAGGACAACATGGACGATGACCTAGGAAGACAACTCCTCGGGAGTCACATGTGGCCTAAGTGCTGTGAGCCTACACTCATTCTCCCAACTCTACACATACAGATAGTCAGTCAGTAACACCTGTTGGTTAGTGAATTCTCAAAAGTGGGGTTTTCCATTGAACTGTAGCGCTCATCGAACGACAACTTGTGCGAGTTAGGAATCAACTAGATCGTACCTATTGATGACTTCTAGTAGAGGTCAGAAAATAAGTTGTTACTACCATTCCACAAGTCTCTAAGAGATTTGCTGACATGTTTCGCTATCAGAGTAGCTTTTTCATAGTTATTAACATATTACAAACTAATTGTTCAATCTAACTTTTATATACCCCTCGTAAACACAAGAGAGAGCTATGTACTCAGATACTTCTTCGATCAATTAGGCATAATACAAAATCACTCAATTTGCGATATTTTGCTTCGCATTTTATTAGAAAAATTGTTTTCGATCATTATTTCGACTTTGTATAGTGATAATAATAATAATGATGATAATGATGTACAGATTAATTGTGGAGTAGAAAACAAAAACAGGGTTCATCTATATCTACATTGAAACATTGAAAGAGCTCATTGTTCTAAGGTTAGCTCCCTTAGTTAAAAAAACCTAGATATTATATGCGTGCCTATACTGTTGCTATGGAATATATGTGTGAATGGGATTTCATCGTACACTATGGTCAATAGCTCTAAGGGTATGAGAGATATGGGGGGTTGAAACTGGTCGACTCAGAAAAATGTTATCATAATTACTCCAACCATTTGGAAAACTTCAAAAACGTTCTGATGAATTCTGATATACCCTGGGTCCAAGATGAGGAGGTTCAGCATTGGAAAATCCGAAACCATTATCCAAATGACGTTTTGAAATTCACGAAATTCTCATTATTCGCAAAGACATTCGAAAAGAATCAAAATTCCCCAAAACTCTTTCAATTTTAATCAGACGTTATTCAAGAAAGAAAACACGTTCTCGTTGTCACATTTTAAGCTTTACAAGTTTGCATCACAAATTTCAGTTTTTCATATGGACCGGTAAATCAGAAAGTTTAACTTACCAGCCTTTTTTATATTAACTTCTATATAACTTCACTGATGTACCGTCATGATCATTCAATTAATAAATATTGAAACTTCATTGCTAGATATCGCACGTTAAGAAGTGAGACTTCGTTTATCCATAGCTTGCATAAGGTTCGACATCTACGGGTTGTCGCTTGTTTGGGGGGGGGGGCTCGAAAATTGAAAACTTTTTTCTTTTACGATTTCTGAGATTTCCAAGCTGGCTCGCCTTATTGTAGACACTATGTATGTAATGATGTAAAAATATTGTTCTAATGAAAATTGATCTCCTACCACGTAGTAGTTCTTATGGTTGTAGAATACTTTTTGTGGATGTCTGCACCTGCCTGAAAAATAGTTATTTATTATACAAGGGAAAAAAGTATTATATTTTAGCTCGAGGTTGTGTTGAAGAAGAAGACATTAATCGTAGCGTTTCTTTCTTAGATACGAAAGTTATCAGAAGAGAGGACAACAAATTAATCACTAGCTGGTATACCAAACCTAATGATTCAGGAAGGTTTTTACACTATGAATCTTACCACCAACAAAGACAAAAAATAAACCTAGTGCTAGATGTGAAAAACATGGTAATTAAAACAAGTCACATTTCATTACGCAATGACAATCTCAAAAAACTTTTACAGCTTTTCTTCAACAGTGGTTATCAAAAAAAATCTTACATAAATTAATCTTCAATAGGTTATCTATAGATATTGATCTCCTCTGGAACAATAAAGATAATTCTAATAATCATCAATTCAACGGAATCTTTACCTTACATTACCTCACATTCAATCATTGTAATCATAAATTTAAAAACATTTTTTTCTAAAATTCCAAACATTGATATTGATTATAAAAATCAACTCACATTGAATATTTTTTCAAAATTAAAAGACAAAGATCCAATTTAAATAATACAGCAGAATAAAAACTCCAGCTGAAAATGAAGAAAAATCTAATATAGTTTACAAAATTCCTTGCATGGAGTGTAACAAATCATATATTGGACAAACATCAAGAACTCTAAAAAGTCGCATCGTTTCTCATAAAACTGATTGCAGGAGGAACATAAACAGATATGCATTATCAGAACATGTCAATGATAATGACCATAAAATGGATTACAACAATTCCACTGTCCTTTGTACAGAGGCAAACCAATTGAAAAGAGTTTTTCTGGAACAATCTTAGTCAAATCTATACTTACATCCTCAAATGTCAAAAAGAAAAAATCACTTGTAATCATGCAAAGCCCGCAGCTGAAATGAATTACGATGAATGAGATGATCGGCCAGATCAGACCGGAGGTCGTCGATATAATAAAATAGTGGCGGTCGGTATCTCGACCTGACTCCTGACCGCAGCCAGCGGTCCACTGACCACGGAGGACCGGAACAGCCAGCGGGAACAGGTCCCGGTCATTTCGGAACATCACTTATCCAGGCAAATTATCCGCCAGCATCGGTGGAGTAATCACGTCGAATAATTTCATAACTGGTTTCGATTTTGCGTTGATAGACGTCGGGCTAATCGAGTCGAAAGATAATTTTCGAAAGTTTTGTTCTCTTTGCCATTCTCATTAACCGATGAACCGCGGACCCGTAATCGACTATCAGAAAAACTTAGAACGAGTATCGATACCTGTCCGTATAATGCCTGTGACAAAATAAAAACTCGACTGACGGCTGCCTTCAAAATAAATTGATCTAAAATTCGGACGGCCTCAAAACAACTCGCCGACGATCGGAGAATCGGTATTACGATTCACAATTCTCACTATCCGCAGGACTGTACTGGCCTTATCGGGTTTATCGGTCACTCGCACTGCCGATGCCGGATCGTTAAACGAAACCGATCAGCGATCACTCACAATTTATGGCACTGTGCATTCTTTCGGTTAGGCCACCAGAGCCCAGGCTCTCCTGGGGTATTATTTTTTAATCGAGATGCCAACAAAAAGGAGTTTACTGGGTGGTCCAGTCGGAAGTAATTCACGGTTTTCAGTGATTGACTGAAATACGCAAACTAATGTCGACGATTAACACACCTCTGTATCCAAAGTAAAGAGTAATAAATGCTGATTATGAATGCAAAACAACAGAGTTCTCAAACAAAATTCTCGTTATGATTTGTCACAGCTACAGTAAGCTGGTTTATATGTAATATTGCACCGGGTCCACTATATTTTTCTACAGCAAACGGGTCACAAATGAAATATTTTATGATCGTTCGGGTCAT